ACTCTGGCAGGATCTGATCAACCCACCATTTATTCTTAATCAGAAGCATGAAATGATGCATTACAACATTACATGTATTTTTAGTGGCAAATACATCATTTCTAGTACTAATTTTTCTTTATTATCTCAATTTCTCTGAATAAAAAAATACTAGAAATAGTTCGGATTCCTTATCTCTATCCCAATTGTGGCAAAAGACCTATATATTAGTGGTAATATATATGTTGATGGGTTAATTATCCCTATAAGAAGACAATTTATTATTATTTATGTATTAAGACACAATTAATTGCCATCTTCTCCTCTCCCACACACACAGAGAGAGAGAGAGAGAGCATAAGAGGAGCCTTGTCTTGCTCGTCTCCCATCATTCTCCCCCACCGCGCCCCTCCATGCTCGGCTCCTGCAGAGCATAAATCCCGGTCGCAGACCTCTCCTCGTGCCCACCCGACCACGACGCTCGGATTCTTCCCCGTCGTTGAGTCACCTAGCAAGCACGTACGTGCAAATGGACGGCCTCCTCGCTCCCCTCCATATCTAACAGCTCCACGGGCTTTTGCTCTGAGCTGCTTATGGATGAACCAGGTTGCTCTCGGTCGATCTCCGGCCTCCTCTGCCAGGAAGACGCGACCGGCATAGACTTGGATTTGGACTCTCCCACCGATGACAGCGAACTGTCTCAAGCGTTCCTGGTTCTCAAAGCCACCGATCTTTGTGAGGAGGAGTACATAGAGAAGCTGGTCTCGAAAGAGAGCAGCTTCGAGAGGCAAATCGGTGAGTTCTGCTTGGTTCCGGCGACGGAGAGCTGGCTCAAGCGTGCCCGCTCCGACGCCATCAAATGGATCTTAAAGGCGAGTCCTCATCTCAATGCTCTGATCCTTGTATAAACGTCTCATCGATCTGTATGTGTGTGTTCGTCAGACCAGGGCCCGTTTCGGCTTCGGATTCCGGACTGCGTTCCTCGCGGCGACTTATTTCGATCGCTTCTTTGCACGGCGAAGAATCGATGTAATGTGAAGCTGTAACATGTTCTCTTCTTTCCATGTCCATGGGGCTTCCTGGCCATTTACCGCTCTGTTGTCGATCAGAACGAGAAGCCATGGGCGCTGAGATTGTTGTCGATGGCTTGTTTGTCGGTGGCGGCGAAGATGGAGGAGTACAGAGCGCCACTGCTTTCGGAGCTTCAGATCCAGGGGTACGCATTCGACAGCAATGGTGTGCAGAGGATGGAGCTCCTCCTCCTCGATACTCTGCAATGGAGGATGGATTGCGTCACGCCATTCGAGTACCTGAGTTATTTCAGATGCAAGTTCCGGTGCGATGCTGATGATCCAGAGGAGTCACTGCGCAAGGTCACTGCACTCATCTTTGCAGCTGTCGATGGTCGGTCATTGGCTTCCGATTCTTCCGTAAACATTGCTACATTCAATTCACGACATGCTTCGATTGTTTGCATGACTTGTATTTAATTTTCCTTTTGGGCTATTTTGTCGTGGACACAGCGATCAATTTAGCCAGCTACTGCTCCTTCACCATAGCAGCAGCTGCCATTTTAGCTGCATCCAGCAGCATGTATACAAAAGAGTCAATGGAGACAAAGATGAGTGCCATACCACTGTTTGGATCCTCTTCAGAAAAGGTAGGCCATATTACGTATCGAGTTCGTTTGGTTTAAGCTTTCCAGTCATGGAAAGGTTACGAAAGCTAATCACTACCAGCTTGCGATGTGTCACTGTTGTTTCAGGAACATGTGTTTTCCTGCTACAATATAATGACCCAGGATCCACCCAAGAACATGAGATCACCCAAGAGGTTGGCTTCTCCGGGAGCATCAGAGAGTTGTTCCAGCATCACTGGTGTCATCGACGGTGCCTCCTTCGGCTTGCCAAGAAATAAGAGGAGAAGGTTGCAGTTGCCGGATACCCATTAGAACCCAACCCTGACACTACTTTTACATGTGCATTGGGAATGCTCTGACCCATTTCTTCTTCGTCACTCTCTTCTTTTCAGTTCGATCATTGATTGTCTGAGTGCTTGTTTTGCTTCTTTATGGCCAATTGAGATGTGAGGTGTTTCCAAATTGCATAGTGCGACAGCTTTAGACCAGAGTGAAACGACTGTTTGCTTCGTGTATCATGTTGATTTGTGAGCTGCTGTTGCAGCGAGGCTGATGAGGTAGAGGTGGATTTGGTCTCCGGTGGGGGATTTTTTTGCCTGGGCCTTCGAAAAGACCGTGGAGCAGCGAGAGTGGCGTGACATGGTACACCTCGTGGTATATGATGCTGGATCAAATACTGTGAAGTGGATGGATTTGTTTCGGCTTGGTGGAGTGAGATATAATTCCCAGTGATGGGGATTGTACTTGTGGTGGTGTCATGTCATCTGAATAAAACCAAGCAACATACTCTTGTCAGAATCCAAATGTATCTTTGCCCCCCATGACTTACAGTAAAATGTATCATGTCAAAAGCAGTTTTTGAGGTTGGATGGATGGATTGGTTAATGGATGGCTTCATTGACAAGAGATCATTTAGCTTGCAAGGCTAAGGCTATAGGGGCTAACAACATCCCTTGAAAATGAATCTACTCCCTGCATCTTCTTTTTGACTATTTGGCTCAAATGTAGCATTCTCTATGTGGTATCACTGTCCAAAGAGATGGGAGTTTCCTTTCCGGTGACCTCATCATCCATTGCTTGCTTGCTAGGCTTGAGTTGCAGTGGAAGTCTACAAAGGTCTTTGTCATCCATGCCGAACACAGGTCAGGTCTTACCCTCTCTTACCGCAGAATAAAGAAGCCCCTTTTACCTGTTTGATGTGCCACTTGGAAAGAGAAATGCCAAAGGACTCGCTTAGCTCTCTGCTTCACCTGCTGCAGGCCATCCATCATCCATTATGAAAAGGGTGCTGTCAAGTCTGCTTCCCTCACCCTTTGCTCCTCCGTCTGATGGCTGTGACAGAATGAACCAGATGCTGACCTCAAGGATCCTTCAGCCACACTGGTCACCATGCGGTCAAATGCAGAGCCTGGAGACAAGGTTTGGTAAACCTGTTGGTTCAAAGGAGTACCACCTAGAACGGAGTGGCCGGACGGAATGGATTACAAAAGGAAATGATGGCAGCGGGGATTTATGCATGAGACCTGCTCGACTGGTGGCCTGACCGAAGGATCCCTTGCGACAGAAGCAGTGTCGCGTATTAGAAAAAGAGTCCAGGGGGGGGATGCCTGCCAAGCCCAAGGGACTGACTGGGTCAAACAAACATTTGTTTACATCCTTTGGTGAATGATGAACTGTCTTGCAGTGAGCTCACGAAAGCAGGAGGAGGTAAAAGATGCGTGTGTGACTGAGATGCCATGTTTCATTGGGTGCTACTCCTTGGGTTGCACAGTGAGAATAGCATTAGTTCAGCATGATGTTTCTTTTCTTCTGGGGGCCATCAATGGAGATCAGCATGCCCCATCGCCATGTTTGACTGAACCTTTTTTGTGTTCTTCGTTCCGAATGCAGATACCTTGACAAATCTTTTTGTCATCCAATCTTCAATCTCCGATATTAGAGGCGAATTCTGTACTCTGTTTTAGGAAAAATAATATCCCCCCCACAATGATCAGATTTTGTTTTGGAGGGATTTTGGTGTTACATGTTGACTAATATGAGGTTGTGTATGAGGTCACCTAATATTTTGTTTTGGTGTTACACAAAACAAGGTCACCTAATATTTTCAATCATCAACTAATATGAGGCTGTGTATGACATGATATATGACAATAATATTGTTGTCATGCACAATTAATATATCTGTTGAGACAAATAATATATATATGTGAAAGATCCTCCTTCCCCAACTAATAGATTGCAGCTACACATGAGAGCATCAAAATAATCAAAACTCCTCCATGACTACTATCAACTGGCATTCAAGTTTTGGCCTCAATCCAAATTTTGCAATAAGCAGAGAAGAGAGCAGAATATTTACAATGAACAAGCATTCTCAGGACGTTTCACCACAATAGTTTGCATTAGTTTGCTGGCTGTCACTTCTTTATGTACTGAATAGTGGTGTTCAATAACAGCTAAACAATAATTGAAATCTTGCTATCATACAGGCTGAGAAAGTATTGCAATCTGAACTTTGACTACGTCTGAATTGTCTGTGACAGTATTGTACAAGAGAAATATTAGTGTGGGCATTGACAAATTCGACCCTTGTGAAGTTCTTGAATACAATAATGGCTATGTACCACATGTACAGCTCTCCATTTCCAACCGGACTACTGGCCATTGGTCAACCGAGTAAGCTAATTCTGAGGATCTATAGGTCCAGTTTACGAACCTCCTGGATCGCCATTGTTAATGACCAATACCATCAGTCTTTGATGAAAAAAAACAGGATGGAACACGAGGAGACGATGGGACGATTGCAGACGATCGATTAAAACTCCTGAAAAGCTTGAATGATCTGTTCAAGTTTGGCATGACTCTGCCAAGTGGCCAGTCAGGAGAGATTTACAATGGCTTTCTTGTAAGGCATGGGTAACACACAGGGCTGGACGTTTGCAGCAGCTAGTCGCACACTGTTCAGAATATTTGCAGAAGTGCTAGATGAACTTGACATAATATGATTTGGTTGAGGTTGTGATGGACTAAGAACAATCTCAGGAGCAGACCGAGGTGAAACTCGAGAGACATCTGTCTCAGAAGTTCCAGGATGAGACTGCCTGCTTTCTCTGAAGAAAACAAATAAATTTGTAACCCTGAGTTGGAAATATATCAAGTTAACAAATCCCCATAACTAAACAAACAAAAAGCATACCCATTTATTGAGTGTCTCCCTCTCACGCATGATTCACTTCTTGATTTATTTTTCTCTCTCGTGCTGATAGTATTATCCTATCAGATCAAATAGAAACTTTACTTAGTTCAGAGTTATGATGCTAAAATTTCTTGTAGTAACTAATGGAAAAACCCAACACTTACAATAATTTTAATCCCTGCAAATGCTTGCAGAGAACCATGTCCGTTGTAGTGGTCTGAGAGTTGTATGAAGGGATGTTCGAGCAACATGTTGGCAGTTGGTCTCTCTGCGGGGTTTCTATGGAAGCAACATTGCAGGAAGTCCTTAGCATCATTTGACAATGATTCAGGTATTGTTGGGTTTTTATGCAAGACTTTAAACATAGCTGCAGCCTGTGATTGACACAACAAAGTACAATTTATATCTCCATAAACCAAAGAAATATACATCATAAATCAGACAAGTAACTAAAAAACAATTAGGATTGAAATATGTGTTATTACAAGTATAACTCAGACAACAACTCAAAACGTTCCATATTTTCAACATTTAATTAGGTCTACGGACAATATGCATGGGTTCAACATTAACCGAACAATATGTTCATATGAAATTTCTTAAAATCTTAATTTAAGCAAAAACTCACTTTCAATAATCATGGTAGTAACTTTGAATTTACATTAATTTTGAGAATGCTTAATGATAGCAAAAGATCCATGTAGTCGGTCCTCAATGGTGGGACATTACAGCTTGTGTTGTTGTTGTTTTATATATGCCCATGGCAAGAAAGGCTACCAAGCTATTTGAGGAATTTGATATAAAACAAGAATATTTAGGGAAGAATTAGCAAAAATTAAGAGGCAAAGAAGAAAGAGGCTGCTACTATGGAAAAATAAAAGAAAAGAGGGAACTGAATGGGAAAGAGGAGAAAAGGAGATAAATAAAGAAAAGAGGGAATTGAAAAAGAAAGAGGAGAAAAAGACAAAAACAAAGAAAAGAGGGAATTGAATGAGAAAGAGGAGAGGAGGATGTAGTGGGTACTGGTCCGAGCAGTAGAGTACCAGTATGTCCACCTGGCAGTATACCTATACCCGTATGGTATCTATCTCGGACCAAGAGGAACTGCCTGGTCCACATGCTGATTGGACCAGTAAATACTAATCTGTACCAACCGGTATGGTTGAAATTAAAATGCTAGATAGAGGCTGCCGATGCTTTCGGTCAATATGATCTGCCTCTACTAAGTCCTTTTCAATTCTGAAAGAACCAAGTTCCGGGAGAGGTTATAGATGTATATCCACCAAGGGGAACAAAACAAATTATGTCGGAAGTTATCCCAAAAACATAAGAAAGAAGCATCAAGTACGTAATCACTCATCTAACTGCTCGAAAATTAAAATAAAAATTGCTTTGTTATTTAATAAGCTTGAAATAACAGAAGAGTTGCTAAGCTAAAACATTTGTCTACTTAATGATAATATCCATTAAAGAGTCATTCTTAATTTGCATATCAACCAACATTGGCTTCTTGATCTCACAAAAAGTGGCCTCATTTTCGAAAAATAACGTGCACATCGTTGTCAAGATAAGTGATCTCAAAAAAACAAATGTTGTTAATTTCTCCATCAAATAACATGAAATAGTTTACACTTAATCATTTAAACTAGCCACTTACTGAAACCTTTAACTAAATATAATATTACAAATTTTCTTTCTAACTTTATATATGACAATTTGTTCATCATTATGAACCAATAGAATATCACAAATAAAACCTGCTCAAGCTATTGACAGAATTTTAAAAAAAATTAAGAATGTTTGCCTTAGAGGTCTTAGAACTAAGTAAAATTAGCTACCAAATGTTTACAAGTTAATTTTAACATATTAAGGGATCACAAGAATCATATGATGAACAAAACTCAACAGATCCATTTACATATAGGAAATCAATTTATCCATAACTATAACTTGATTAAGCAAGAAACTATCAGCAACACAAACTCATTCAACCAACAATTCTCAGATTGGGCTCATATGTTTAATCAGCATTACTATTATCTTCAATAAAACATTATAAAGAAAGTTTCTACGTACACAGATTGTATATTCTAATTTGACTGGAGAAACTTCCGGAGCTAATAAGTCTTAAAGAATTGGCAATCTGACATCAGAACATCTATTACTTGCAAGTGACAACATAGAACCTTTAACTAAATGTAGCTAGTCATACACAACATCAATGAAAAGGAACATTTACCCCTTCTAAACCACTCCAAGGCTGTTTTCCTGTAAACATCTCAATAATGGTACAACCCAAGCTCCAAATGTCAACAGCAAGATCATAACCAATATCCTTGTTCATTGTAGCCTGCATCACCTGAACAGAGGAAAGAGTAGGTTCAAGAATTACAAAGTAGTTATGGACTAAGAATGTGACACTAGGAGAACTCCAAGACTTGAATGCATGGACCAAATTTCAACTTAATAGGTGCATCTCATTCAAAGGCTTAGTTTTGTCACTATGGATACTTCATGTACGAGCATAGAGGTATACACAATAATTAGGAATCACATTCGACAGAAGAAATCCTTTTGATTCAACAGTTTTACATGGTCATAGAAGTAAAAGGTACATAATATAAAGTTCCAAGAACAAGAAACTAACTCCCACATGCACAACGGAGTAGAAATATAAGAGAGGAGAATTTTGAAGAAAATTCCTGAAAAAGGAAATGGCAAAAGGACAAAAGTGCTGTTAGGATTGTTTGCAATGATAAGGTTCAGCCACAATAACAAATGGTAAATGTCATCATCTTCATATGTAAACTGTACAGACACATGAAGAAATAAATACTGCAGTTTCAAGCCATGTAATCAATTTATTATAGAAGGGTGAATATCAGAAACAAGGTTGTCAGCACCAAAATAATTTATGAAGCAAAATGCTTCAGTAGTAACTAGTAAGTATAACAACTAAGTAACTTAAGTAAAATCATAGAGATTTAAAGGTCACATATAACTGCAAGTGAGAGATGGCCATGATACATTTAATCAAACACTAAAGAATCCTTGAACCAATCCATAGGTTGGACGGTATCAAATTAGTAAAGAAGTGCAAAGCTTTGCAGACATTTCTTGTTAGTTGTCTACATAGGTACTTTAAAAAATTCAGTGATTGAAAATGCTCAACAGTTTGGGTCACATTATGTTTAGCTCATAACAAAATGAGACTATAGTCCCACAATAATTTCCTCTGGGCAGTTCAAGACAAACTGGCCTTGTGAAAACTAATTGGTCCAACAAACTTCCTTAGTGAAATGGCCTTCATCAGCATCCAGTTTCAGTGGTCAGCATGTATGACGAAGAACTCTCCTAGTTCTTACTAATAACACTTTCAAATCATACTTGTTTTGCATATCCATTAAATAAAAAAATCTTCCTTGATTTAACAATGACAACTCCACAAAGACTCTCTCTCTCTCTTGTTGAGACAACTTGATGCAATTAGATGTGCTCATTACACTGTAACTCATCTTCCTTGAAGTATCTCGAACTCTGTGCAAAATCCCTTCTCAGAAGAAGGTGTTTGGTTACCAGTTCCTTTATGTTGCCAAGATTTGCCCGAGCCATACACTCTTGAGTTAAAGCTAAAGATAAATTATGATTAATCTTGCCACAGTTTTGAATCTATTTAACAAGAAAGAAAATTTTCCCAGGGAAGATGAATGACATACTCTGTATTGCTACAGACAAAGTAAATTTAGAGGCTCTTTATTGAATCTTTGGTTCTTAGATCTGGTAAAATCTAACTCCTATGAACTATCTTTTGATATTCGTATATTCTTATAATCAAGTAAACAAAAGAAAAAACAAAAGATCAACAAATTCAAGCTCATAGAAAATCACTTCCAAAAGGAGATAAGCACACAAGGGAATTACCTCTGGAGCCATCCAATATGGTGAACCCTTTAATGAACGAGTTCCGGCTACCCCACTTAGCTGATCAATGTGGAAAAAACAACAATGAGCCGCAAGTCACACTTTCACAAACAAATGACATGTGAACATGTAGAGAAGATTGACTAACACTTGAATATATGCATGTGACTAAGTATGCACCCATGCGTATATGTACACATGCATGCATCTACTTAATATATATGACATGCACGGTTGTGCAGTTAATTTATGCATGTTAGAATACGAGGGTAGTAACCATTGTGCCCATGTGGTATTTATGTATGCATTCATGTACTTGTATAAGCAAAACATTTGTATATACATGTTTACATATACATGTGTGCTAAAATACTAGGGCAAATTAACATTGTACATGTGCTATCAAAGGGTAGCCTTGATAGAAAGAATTTACACCAAAAATAGGATAAAAAACAAAAATTGAATCAGGACAATCCTATACACAGTGCTAACACAAAATATCCTGCCATTTAGAATAGGGTGAGGACACAAAATATGCTATCCAAAGACATGAACCTATTAGAAGTCCTAAGACTCACTTAGAAATCATCAACATAAGTAAATCATGCCTAACCAAACAAATGAAACAAAATTCTCTCCAGTAACAAGACTAAATCTGAAATCAGTACTTTAGTCTTGCAATTCTCATTGAATCTTCCAATTTCAAAGCTTAACTCTTGCTGTCTAAACCTATAATGGACTAATGGAGCATGTGCTCATATAAAAAATGCAACCATACAAGCTCAACCTTCACATTTAAGGTACAAGAATGTTACATAAGGTTCACTGTATAGCTCACTTGGTCAAAGATTAAGGTGTTTCGCAGCATGTGTATAGAGCCAGAACAGGCACAAGATAGATGTTCACTTGTTAATACCAGTATACACTCTATAAATGAGGACAAACTTTTTCCTCATACCTCAGTATAAAGAAGAGAATGTCATGTGAATTATATAATGCAGTACGTGATAACCCTTGGCTAGCTGACATCACCACAGCATGCATCAACATGGTCCTTATCTAAGATCATTACAATACAGAACCAACAATGGCAAAAAGCAATCAGCACATGTTACAAAGTTTCATTTTACATGTTTTCATTATTTATTTTACCTGAATAGAGAGAGGTTGTAATCTCGCTACCCAACAAAAACCCACTGAGATGAACATATATAACTCTCCAATAATGATCGCTAATCAATATTCTAAAGAGCAGATCTACGAGGCCATGTGTATTGATGCCTATGTTGATTGGCCAAAAGACTGCATCGCATTCACCATATGTGGAAATAACATGAGCTTATCTGAATAATCAGACCAAAGTTGACATGTGCCACCGCACAAAGGCACATGTGCATCTGCACAAGACCGCATGACGTCACATGATGGTTGATAATCCAAATAATGTTTGAATTCTATATTTCTACTTAAGTATTTTTCAAGGGTGTTCAACTTAAATATCATTGAAAGGCTGAGATTATAACATAATATTTGAAATTTTTATCAATTTTGTGACTGTCCCATTTTCTTATGGTTATAAAATGTCATCAGATAGTTCAAAATGACAGGGAGCTTATCCACTACATCCACATAAAGAAGAGTCTAATCCAATATTTCTTGTCATAAGAGTCTAGTCCAATATTTCTGGTTCTTCAGCGACAATTGTGCCAGATCCCTGAACTTCAAATAGAAAGCTACAATATTGAAAAAAAGGCATATGGACCCATCCCACTCTGTACTAAGTTAAGTACTCTTCGGTCCCACTCTGTATAGAGTTAAGTATTTGCTTCAGCTTGGAGAAGATGCCAAGTTTGGCTTCTTTATTACAATATTATGTGTTTGTACAAAAATTTTCTTACTATACATGCTATGCTGTCATCTAAAATGAAGTGTCATTATATTTCTTGCAATATATTTGTAATAATCATTTTATATTCTTTTAAATTATTTTTATGCATTTAAAACTAATCTTGCATATTAGCCTGCATACCACATGCAAATTGCAGTGACATAACCACATAAATACCACTCCCACTTTTTAAAACCTTATTCTAGCAAAATAACTTGCCTAATCTGTGTCATACCATATTAGGATTCTTGGATGCTAGTTAATCACAAAATAGGACTCTTTGAACTCCCTAAAATAGCAATTAGAATAACTACAAATCATAGAATCTTAGAAAATACAAATATAACTGCTATTAGGATTTGGCAAAGAGGCTTGGTTGGGCCCCCCTGGAAGTAATTTAGGAAGATCCTTCTTTCTCCTCCAATTTGAGTAGTGAGTTACCCACAAGCTAGACCAAGACCTGTACATGCTCGACCACAGATGCAACAGGTCATAACAGGCTGTCTTGCTCAAATATGCTGAAATAAGGTGCTCTTGGGCTCTCCAAACCTGTAAAAAATTGTCTCAAGCTGAACTGGTCCTTATTTTGGCCTTTATGATGGTGAAAAGGTCTAATCTTAGGATAGCACTGGCCCTGGCTAGAGCCTGGACTGATTACAAATTAGGGTTGCGCTACATTACAACAAAAACAAGCTAAAAAGACCTAAATTAAGCAATACATGGAACAATTTTCAATCTACTTATGTCTATTATTTTGTCAATATCCAAAATAATAAACAATCATAAGTTTATCCAAAAACTGCAGACAATTACCTATCTACATAAGCGTGATGCATAATTGAACAGACACATGAACTGGTCATCTATAAAATGATTATATTATTCATCTTCCCTGCTTTTTGAGATAGAAGTTGTAATAAACAATGTAGTGTCTCAAATTGTTATTCATTTAAGAAAGCAACAAGAACTGCATATTGTCTATTGCTATCATAAACCTTTACTAAACACAACAATCAATTAAAAAGAAAGACATGATCGCTGGCTGTTATTTCATATTATAATAGACTCAGTGTAGCAAAATATCCAGAAATGGCCACAGGCAGCTAGCCCAGTGCACAAGACTCCTACCAATGTAGGATCCGGGAGGATCAATCACAAAGTACTATCCTCGTAAGAAAAATTGATGTTTCTTTGTAGAAGTAGCAACAAAAAGGCGCGAGTAAATGGAGTCTGTTTCGATCACAGAATCACACTTACATGTTTTGCCATCCCAAAATCAGCCAGCTTAACAACGCCACGTGCATCAACAAGCAAATTTGCTCCTTTGATATCCCTGCATGAACCAATATTTAGGATACCATGATCAGTCCATATAGTAGATTGAATTTTCTGGAGCACACCAATGAAAGGCAAGAAAGGTTAATAGAAAAAACAACTTAATGAACAACTTTTATAACACTAAGCAAATTTAAGTTGAGAACTAACAAAGAAAGATATCTTTTTATACTTTAATTCTTTTATAGGTAAGGAAAGAAGAAATGAAATCAACGACAATGATTTGGATGAATTTCCTATTGACACCTGTCAATTACAATAAGTGATCAAATGGAAAGAAGAACCTCAATAATAAATTTGAAAGCTAGATAAAGTAAACAGGGCAGGGAAATGCACAAGGCTCCTAACAATGCCTCTGGATGAAATAAGGAAACACCTAAGATCTAAGACTCAACTTACCAAACAAGAGGCTTGATCAGGGCCATGCTTAAGCATCCCATATGTCAAAATAAAACATGGCATATCACTAACTTGTCAAATACATTTACTTCCAACTATGGGCCAACAACCTTACCATATATACTCCTATGCAAGGTTTGCTGTTTTGGGTCCGTACCTGTCTTGGCAATTTGTCAAACCGATATGTACCGATGTACCAACACACGGTATGCCGATGCGTACTGGTGTTTTAGCAAGGAAGAAAAACAAGGAGAAGAGGAAGGAGCGATGGAGGAATATAGGAGGAAGAAGGAAGAAGGAAGAAGAGGAAGCGATGGAGGAGGAAGAAGAAAAAGAAAGAAGAAGAGGAGAAGAAGCAACGGCAACATCGAAGGGGTCGCGACAATGGCAACAACGAGGCAGTGGCAGCGTCATTGTATGCAAGAAGAGAGCTCACATTTGCGAGCCCTATTTTTTTTATCCTTTTTTAACGCTGAGTTGGTCAAGCCTCACCACTTTTTTGAGTTTTTTATTATTTTAACCAGACCGCCTAAAACGGGGGTGGTCTGCATATTAGCCCACGCCCGGACCGATACATACCACTCGTATTGTACCATTTTGGGTAGTACAACAGTCCTTGTTCCTATGCTATAAGTCCAAAATCATCATTTTGCAATTCAGAAAAAAATGTTATCTACAAAAAAATAATTCAAATCAAACACAGAATCTTGACAATATATTTGATCTTCAAATCCAGTTAAGACCCCATATCTTGTAACCATGAACATCACCAGCATGAATAGCAAGGTTCATAATTTCGTACCATACCGGAGTTTCGAACTCAGCTCAGTACGGTATAGTATAACTATACCGAGCGATACGTTTCGATATACCACTCGCTATATATATATATATATATATATATATATATATATATATATATATATATA